ATCAAATTGTTCGCTTCCCAATATAAATTGAACATCCAAGTCAAACTATAATCCAACTATCCAAGTCAAACAAAAAATTACTTAAACTTATAATTTATCACGATTTTTTAAATTTCATCCACATTTCAACTCTCAAACAACAAAAATATTATTCAAATAGTAGACATCATGAATCCACACCCTAAAAAAACAAAAATAAATTCTTGAATTTAAGATAAAAAATAAATTATAATCTAAAAATTAAAATAAGAACATGAAGAATTCTCATCAAAATGGGAATAAACTAGTATCTGCATACTGCATAGAATGAGAGTGAAACTATAATGATGTTGTTATTTTTTATAAATTATAAAAATATGCATTTGTTATAATTCTTGAAAACACACATTTATCGACAGGGGTTCGTTCAAGTGGTAAGCAGCTTGATATTGCTTAAGCAATGTATTTTTTTTAAAGGGGTGGTTTCGTAAAATAAGAGAAGCATACAAAAACCGGACACACTGGAAGGCCTCGTTAAAAAACCTCCATAGAACCTATTTGGTGGAAAAAGAGTGCGTCATCAGGTGTCAAAAAGTAACACATAATATTGACCCCAATCTTATCGGGACTACACAATTACAACGAAAGCACTCGATTGCAAATTAGAACATAAGTTGAAACCAACCAAGTAAATACAACAACTGAAACAAACTAAGATATTAGGCCACTTTAGGGACACATACTGCAGTAATTCAATCTAGCATCGAACAAAGAGCACTGAAATAAAACCACTAGCACCAGTAAATCACCTCCAATGCAGCAATATCAACACTCCAGCTAGGACTAACGCGAACACTGCAGTGGACCAAAAATAGACTATCAGATCACCCATCCAACTACACCCCAGAACTGAAAACACAATTGTACGAGCCAACCCAAGCAGCTGATCTGAACCAGAAAGATGACGCATTCACTACCACCTAGATAAAATTTACATACCTCAGTTCGAGAACAAATACAACCAAAAAAGAAGGAAAATTATGAAAAAGCATCCCCACAATCCACAGTCGACCAAAACAAGAGAACAACCAACGAAACTAGAGTGACCATCACCTCGACAAACTCACATGAGACTAGGACAACACCACCAATCGAATTTCATTGAATCATAGACGAAAAGAACTATACACACACTAATGAATGGTAAAGTCACGAGATCACTTATCCAATATAAAGACTCCTAGCTCCTACTCCCAAACAAATGAAAAAATCCAGAATTGAGGGATAGATTTTTGGCCAGTTAGAATTGCACCAAAATCAAATCCTAGATAAAGAAAGATTATATAAACTATCCACACTACACTCATTCTTGTTGAAAATTAAGTAATTTCTCCCCAGCCAAATAGTCCACACAATCCCAATGAACGCAACAGACCAAATCTGTTTGCACCTAGAATTTAGAGGGAGATCAATCCATGTGTAGATGAAGGTTAAAAACGAACTTGGGACCATAAAAGTCATGCTCCAATCTGACACCCATTTTTGGCCACAAATGCCACGCCACCTCACAATGACAAAAGAGATGGTCGGACGATTCAGGAGCTTTTTGACATAGTGCACAAATGGAAGAGTCCAAGCTGACAACTCCACGTTTGGCTAGTTCGACTAACGACGGGATCCTTTGAAGGACAACTCTCCAAACGAAAGCCTCCACTCATAGTGGAACCAATTTTAAAATCCTCGCTGGTCCAAGCAAGGTATATATATATATATATATATATATGTTCGAGTCCTTGTATATGCAGAAAATCCCTGTTGGGAGACTTACCCACCAAAGTCAGGTGTGCGACCCAGGTCGGAGCCAGATTAGTCAAGACAAAGCCTTGGAACCGGAGGTCAACCAAAAAAAAACACACACACACATTTAATTATAAGTTAAATACAATATTATGAAATACATTCGTTAATTCCTCATAAATTTTAAAATGATCATATCATTTCGTAAACATTATCTATAATATATGATTAAAAGCTCTCAGTAGACATCTTTCTTATCTCTTAAGTTGTGAGTTCAATAGCCTTTAGGAACAAAATTTCTCTTCCCCTCTCCAAGTAGGAATTAATAAAAAAAATGACCATGCCATTTCAAACAATAAAAATTATCAAATACCGCAATAAAAATATTTTTATAACAAAAATAATTATTAGTTTATTAATTATCTTGTAAGTGTTTATGTCGTCTTCGATCAATCATTGATAATCATCATTATTTTTTTCAGCCTTAAATCTTTGAAACCTATTAAAAGTGAAAAAATATTTATAAGTGAAAATATTTACAAAAAATGAAAAAAATGTATTTACAAGTATTTATATAATTATCACTTACCACTATCATTGTTTTCTATTTTTTCAATTTATTCCTCTTTTTGGATTGCTATAGGTGATGATTTGAGCCAATTTTGTGCACAAATGAGGCACTCAACAATTTCTTGAGTTAAAGAACATCGGGATGGTTCAAGAATACAAATTCTAGCATTGGAAGAAATTATGAATCCATTGTAGACACGAGAATTGTAAAAATATCTCTAGCCATCAAAGAAATTATAGGATAGGTCTTCATTTTTTCTTCCACCAATCGAGTAAATCAAATTTCTTAACATCAGGTTCTACTTTGCCCTCCAAATACTTTTTAAGTTCATATTTTCCTTCAATAAACACACTTTCAACTTTGTTTCTTTTATATTTGGACTTAGAATAAGCAAATAAATCAAGGTCATCACTCTCAACCCTAGGATGATTAATTGAGAACTAGCACTTGATTTACCTTACTAGAAGACTAAAGGAAGCATAAGACTCATACTTTAGTGATAGAATGATTAAACTTTAAGTATGTAGCCCCTGATTATCATCATGCATGTACCTACTACTTATTACCGTATATTCTAGCATGCTTATGTTTATGAGATTTATATTACTTCTTTAGATTAATGATTATACTGTTGGTCTTTATAAGCTCAATGTTCGGATGTTTTCATTTGTAGGTTAGTAGTTCGAGTCGTTCAAGGAGCATCGTCGCAACAGGATTTCCAGCGTACCTTCTAGAGTATTGTACTATTACTTTTAGTGGGCATGTGTATTCATAAGACCCTTATTATTGTATTTAGATTTTTAAACTCTGAGATTGTATTATTTAATTTAAAATATGTGTCAAGCAACTCTTGTTTGTTAAACTATTTTATAAGTATTATGGATATCAATTTTCGTAAATATATTGCATTTTAAATGGAACTGAAAATGGATTTAAATTTTAGTGATTACCTCGGCAGTCTAGTGTAGCACTTTAGGCCCATTCAAGTTTAGAATGCTACACCTTCATTTTTGAACTTGAAAACTCATCTCTATACTTAAAATCTTGCTCCCCCAACCTATCAAAAGATGTGTTAATTTCAAGACATAATCTAGCATTAAAAAGTTAAATTCCATGTAGTTTCAACATCTAAGCAAACTAAACCCTTGCTCTCATATTTTTCTTGCTCAACAAATAACTTAAACCTTTGCATCCTATCTGGTGATGACCTAATATACTTAACAACCGAATGAATTCTAAAAATGGAGTCATCTAAATCTTTCAAACCTTCTTTAACAATTAGATTTAGTATGTGTGCAAAACACCTCATCTGAAGGTCTCACTTCCTGAAGTGCTTTATTTCTAACTATTTTGCCTTTTCTTTATGTACTTGATTGTAATGTCATTGGAGCTAGCATTATCTACGGTGATTGTGAGCACCTTATCTATTTTCCACTCAACCAAGTGTTTTTCAATGTATTTTCATATCACATCACCGTATATGACTAAGAAATTATAACTATTTAAGTGTAACTTCTAATTTATTATCTTTAAAAACTTTTAAAAACATCACACATACAAATATATGAGAAAATAAACAAAAATATTACATAAACTTTTATAACAATAATACATTTTGGGAAAGTAACCCTATTTAGATACTTTTAACTTTATCCTAAAATATACCATGAATATATTTCCAAAATTAATCACCATTTCCTTTTTTATAGTTCTTAAAAACATCTATTTTGGGAACAAGCCATATGAGTTTGGCTTCATGTTCTAATCTTTGACTCGTGTTAAATTTCAATTTTTTAGTCAAATTTATGGGCTCGAATTTGTTTTGTTAAATTTAATAGTGTGGTATGAAGAAACATGTGATTTAAATGGAAACGCATTCATGTGTGACCATGAAAGAAAGAGAGTGAAAGGGTAAAACAAATTTTAGACTATGACAACAATTTTATTTTCAGAGTAACAAAGATTTTGATAATCTTGTTCTGTATGAAACAAAAACTATAAATGCTTTGATTGTTTAATGTATATATATATAAGATCTAGTTAAAAAAATAAAAGATTTAATTAATAAAATAAAATAAAATATATCGATTATAAATAAAAATGATAAAATATTTTAATATTATTTATCGTATGAAAGCATGCCAAAATGTCAAGATGAGTGGAGAGTGAGAATGGGAGAACAAACTGTTGAAGTATGAAGCTTGACTGGGTGTTAAATGCTTGAACTTTAAGGTCCGATGAAAAAAGACAGATAAAAATCTTCTTCTATTTGAAAAAAAACTATAAATCATTAAGTATTTAAAAACATAAATATGTATAAAATATCTAGTTAAAATAATTAAAAGATCTAACTAATCAAATTAAATATATTAATTATAATTAAAAATGATAAAATAGTTTTAATATTACTTGTAGTATGAAATCACGGCCAAAATTTCAAAATGATGAGAGAGAGAATGAGAAAGAAACAATTTAAGTATTTAAGACCGAGTGTGTTAAAGGGTTGAACTTGAAGCTTCGTTGAAGGAAAACGTATATAATTTCTTTTGAGAGAAAAGGATTCGCTAAAAGTTAATGGCATCATCAATTACAATCTATTTAATACAATCAAGTTCATCCATAAAAAACCACATCAAATTGGGTTCGACAAAGCTCATTGAGCAAGACTATGCGCTGTTTTATTGGCCTTCCGATTGACATAGAAAAGTTTAAACCCCTCATTGGAAGAAAGCATCCCATGCGTTTCGTTGCGTAACAATCCGATAATTGACACATCGTCTTTCCAATTTACTATCTTGTTGACAATTGTAATTGCGTCCCCCTCAATGATAACATTGTCCCACCCATTATCAATTGCAAATTTGAGCCCTCGGGTGACGGCTTCCACTTCAGCAACCTCCGTATTGCACGGATGCAAAATCCTCCTACACAAACCCCCGAGTACCAGTCCATAAGAATTTCGCGCAACCACTCCCAAAGATACAAACTTAGCTGTAGAACTATAAGCACCATCCACATTGATCTTGATAACCCCATCAAGGGGTTTAGTCCATATTCTCAATCGGAATGATTTTACCTTATAATGCGCCGTCCTCCCATTAATTTCAAAGAAATCAAAATAGATATTCCAAGCAGCAATGATGACTTCTCTGTCCTCCTGAACTTCACCCTCATGAACAAACTTATTACACCAATTCCAAATGTTCCATAGTAGCACAATTAATCGTGCCATCCTATGGAATCAAGCTTAGTTGCCGCCCAATCATGTCACTCTTTAAAAAAATAGTGTAAAACGGCTCAAGCGTGAAACTAAAATCTAAAAGTGAAAAAAACAAAAGATCTAATTTAGATTTTGGATTTTGCATACTTTTTCCTTATAATAAAATTGGGCTAAATATTAAATAAATGGACAAATTTATAATGGTATAATATGATACCTTGATCTGGAACTTTTTTCATTTGGTCCAGTGTGGAATAAATGAGTTTTATATGAAAAATTCGAATCAAACTGAATTATGATAATTGAATGTTTAAATCAACTCAAAAATCAAATTGTAAAAGGTAAATCTGAACCAAATCAAATTGTATTATTCAAATGTAGATTTTCTCGAATTTTTCAATTTCGTTGTTCAACCCTAGTAGTCTATTATTACGAGATATATAATGAAGAGTATTGTTATACCTCTAGAGATACAACTCCCCACATGCACATAAGGTCGCCTTTGGAGGGACTCTCATGTAAAGGAAATTCTTCGAACAACTTTATCCTGGATAAAACCTTTAATGAATTAAAAGATTTTTCAGGATGAAATATGCTGACTGACAACTGTTGGGAAATAAATGAGTACCGAGTAATTTCCCTATAACCAGATTAGTGAGAATGCGAAATAAAAGCGGAAAAATAATACCCGAAATTGATAACGGAGTTCAGCCAATTATGCCTACGTCTCCGGACTGCTGCAGATCTTTTACTAAGAGAGAAAATTTACAGCTGTTTACAAAACACTCACTACTCACAAGAAAGCTCTCTAGTATTGGGAGAAATAAATGATTTGGGATGATTTTGAAGCTAAATGAACTAGGGTATTTATAGTTGAAGCTTAGGGACTAATCTTTGAAAATACCCTAAAGTGCAATGACTAAATGTGTGATTTAACCATTATCAAAAAATCAAAAAAGAACAACCCCCTTTTTGACTTCCCCCCATTTTGGTGCCTAACTTCAACAATCTCCCACTTGAAGACTGATTTTAATCTGTCTTCACACCTCGATCAATGCAGCAGCTTTTCTAGTCTTGTTACTCTAGCATGCCAACTGAAGTTGAACACAACTTCAGTTTTTCCGTGGTCACCGTCTTTGTCAACATGTCTACCAGATTTTGAGCTCCACTAATCTTTTCAAGTTTCAAAATCTCATCTTCCAGAAGAGACCGAATAAAATGATATCGTAATTATATGTACTTCATCCTGGAATGAAAAGACGTATTCTTTGCTAGATGGATAGCACTTTGACTGTCGTAATACAAGACATTGTTTTCTTGTTTCTTGCCTAACTCATCCAAGAAACTTTGGAGCCAAACCATCTCCTTGTTGGCTTCCGTAACAGCGACATATTCTGCTTCAGTTGTGGAGAGAGCAACTATCTTCTGTAGTTGAGAAACCCAACTCACTGCAGTACCTCCTAGAGTATAGACATACCCTGTAGTGCACCTTCTGATGTCAAAATTTATGGCTAAGTCAGCATCTACATAGCCTGTCAGTATCGTATCTCCACCTTTGAAACAAAGTGCTTTATTTGTAGTACCCACATATATCTGAGGATCCATTTGACTGCTTCCCAGTGTACCTTGCCTGGATTATTCATGTACCTGCTAACAGCTCCCACTGCATGAGCAATATCTGGTCCAGTACAAACCATGGCATACATCAGACTTCCAATTGCTGAGGCATACAACACCTTCACCATGTGTGCATGTTCTTCCTCCGTCTTTGGTGACTGTTCTTTGGAGAGTGTAAAATGAACACCTAAAGGTGTACTTACTGGTTTAGCATCTTGCATGTTGAATCTGGAGAGTACTTTATTGATGTACTCAGCCTGTGATAACATCAAAGTCCCCGACTTTATGTCTCTTTTAATCCTCATCCCAAGAATCTACTTTGCAGCGCCCAGATCCTTCATAGCAAACTGCTTCGACAATTTTTGCTTCAAGTGTATAATCTCTTGCATGTCTGAGCCTACAACGAGCATGTCATCAACGTACAATAATAAAATAATGAAGCTGTTTTCGAACCTCTTGATGTAGCAATAATGATCTGCTTGACATCTGGTAAAACCACTGCTACTCATGAAACTATCAAACTTTTTGTACCATTGTCTAGGAGCTTGTTTAAAACCATACAAGCTCTTCTTCAACCTACATACCAGGTTTTTCTTGACTGCCTCTATGAAGCCTTCTGGCTGCCTCATATAGATTTCTTCCTCCAAATCACCATGAAGGAAAGCTTTCTTTACATCTAACTACTCAAGATGTAGATTTTCTGCTACAATTTTCAACACCAGTCTGATTGTAGACAGTTTTACGACTGGAGAGAAAAATTCATTGTAGTCAATACCTTATTTTTGCTGAAAACCTTTGACAACCAATCTTGCTTTGTAGCGTTTGCTCCCATCATGCTCTTCTTTGATCATGTAAATCCACTTGTTATGGAGTGCTTTCTTCCTGGTGGTAATTCAACTAATTCCCACGTCTGATTTGACATAAGCGAGTCCATCTCATCTTTCATGGAAGACTCCCACTTGACTGAATCGTCCACCTGCATTGCTTCATCATAGCACTCTGGTTCACCATTATCAGTCAGCAATAAGTAGTGCAAAGAAGGCGAATAACGTTGGGTTGGTTTAGGAATTCTGGAGGAGCGTCTCAGTTCTGGTGTGCCTGGTTCTTCTTGAACTGCTTCAGGACTGATTTGAACATCATTTCCAGAAATCTCATCGAACTCAGCAAATTCCTTTGTTTCAGCTTCGGTGTTGGAGCTACTTGATTCCATGGTTGACCTGTCTTTGTACATCATATTCTCATTGAAAATGACATCTCTGCTTCTGATGATTTTTCGATTTTCGTAGTCCCAAAACCGATAATCGAACTCATCACCACCATAACCAGCAAAGACACATTTGTTGGACTTGGCATCAAGTTTACTTCTTTCAGCAGAATCTATGTGTACATAAGAAATACAACCAAACACTCTTAAGTGTGAAAGGTTTATTTCTTTTCTGCTCCAAACTTCCTCTGGTATTCCATCATCCAAAGGAACTGATGGCCCACGGTTGATCAGGTAAGCTGCAATGTTGATATCTTCAGCCCATAGAAATTTGGGCAATCCGGCATGTATCCTCATGCTTCTGGCACGTTCATTCAGAGTTCTATTCATGCGCTCTGCTACGCCATTCTGGTGCGGTGTCATGGGAACTGTTGTCTCTATCTTAATCCTATTGTTTGCGCATAAATCTCTGAATCTACTGTTTTTGTACTCTCCTCCATTGTCTAACCTCAACCGCTTAACTTTCAAACCAGTCTCATTTTCCACCATGGCCTTCCATTTTCTGAAGGTATCAAAGACTTTTGATTTCTTCTTCAGAAAATAAACCCACACCTTCTTTGTAGAATCATCGATGAAGGTGACATAATATAGTGAGCTTGCAAGAGATGGAACTGGAGATGGTCACCATACATCAGTATGAACCAACTCTAACTTTTCTGCCTTCGGTGTCTTGCTAATCTTTGGAAAACTTACTTTCTTTTGTTTTCCAAAGATGCAATCCTCGCATAGCCCGACATCTACACTTTTTAGTTCCGACAGCTTCCCTTTTGACAAGAGTGTCTACATCCCTTTCTCGCTCATATGGCCAAGCCTTTGGTTCCATATGTTTGATTTTCCATCAGCATCTGCTACTGTAATGATATTCTCTAAGTTTGAGGTTACATAGAGAGTACCAGTCTTCTTACCACGAGCAATGATGAGTGCTCCTTTGGTAATCTTTCATTCACAACCTGAAAAGGTTGTACTATATCCTTCTCCATCAAGCTGTCCTACAGAAATCAAATTTCTTTTGAGACCATGAATATGTCTCACTCCTTTCAGCTTTCAGGTGGTCTGGTTCGACAACTTTAGTCGAATGTCTCCTTTTCCGACGATCTTCAAGGTTTCATCATCAGCTAGATGAACCTTCCCAAAATCACCACTGACATAGTTCTCCATGATTTCTTGGCATGGGTGGAGTGGAAAGATGCCCCTGAATCCAAGATCCATGATTCAATCGGACTGTTGACGCTTAGAATCATGGCATCACCTGTCTCCTCTGTCATGTTTGTAGATTCCTTTGCGCCAATATCTTTCTTTGGTGCTCGACAATCTCTTTTAAAGTGACCCTTCTTGCCATAATTATAACATGTAAAATATTTCTTTCATGTTCTTGATTTTCCCCTTCTTGATTTCGATCTGTCATGATTTGAATTTCTTTCTGAAGTTCTCCCTCTAGACTCTGTGTGCAAGGCTGAGGAGCTTGATGCTTCACCCGATTCTCTCCGTCGAATTTCTTCACTCAATACCAGATCCCGAACATCGTCGAATTTTAATTTGTTGTTTCCCGATGAGCTGCTGACTGCTGTAACAGTAGCATTCCAACTGTCTGGTAGAGATGATATGAGAATTAAAGCTCGAACTTCATCATCAAATTTAGTTTCCAACTGAGTTGTGATTGTGTTGAGTTCATTTAGGTGTTGAGCAACTGATGCCCCTTTCGCCATCCGCAAATTGAATAATCGCCTCATCAAGTGAACTTTGTTTGAGGCCGATGGCTTATCATACATACTGGAGAGAGCCGCCATAAGACCCGCCGTGGTCTTTTCCTTTGCTATGTTGAAAGCAACATTACGGGATAACGTCAGTTGGATAACTCCGAGGGCTTGTCTATCGAGAAGAGCCCAGTCTTCATTCTTCATGCCCTCTGGTTGCTTTTTTGAGAGAGGTTGATATAGATTTTTCTGGTACAGAAAATCTTCAATCTGCATCTTCCAAAAGCCAAAGTCCGCACCATCGAACTTTTCAATTTTTACCTTCCCTTCGTCTGCAGCCATCGCTCCCACTCGAATCTGGCTTCGTTTGGATCGTTTCTGACAATTTTTGCGAACCACCGTGTATTAGAACACCTCCGTCGACAAATTCGTGTCGC